AATGGGATAGCTATAATTGGATAAATTCGGCATATGAAAACACCAAAATCAATGATTTTTTTTCAGTGGCTGTGTTACCTTGTGTCTGACACATTCATATGCAAATGACTAAACTGTGAAACAAACAGGGGCGGAGACAAACCACTCAAATGTTTGGAAACACTTATTGTGTGTCAGATAGCTACTGATAACACATCCTAACATTGCTTTGTCTTGAGTTTATCTTTGAAACTTATAGGCACACAGATTAAACCTGTGTTGTTGATTTTGGAAAACACTACTGAGGCTGCCTTGCTTCCCTTCAGAAAATCTATATTTTAACCAACTTACATGACATTCTATGTTATATTGACTTTATCATATGAAAGTTTATGGTGCATTTCATCAATTAATAAATAAATGTGAAAATCGTAATTTTCAACACAAATAATAGTCTCGCTACCTTAAGTGCACCTCCTCCTCACAGTTTTTTGTTTGTTTATACTATTGTTTTCGATGACCTCGCTTTTCAGAATAACTTTAACGATGTTGAAAATTAATATTTTGACGAAGCATAAATATCTACCGAGATTGATACAAGTGGTTAGGCAATACATATTAACTTCATCACTGAAGTGCCAATTTATTGCATCTAAGAATGCCACAATTGATTAAGAAATAAAATAATCTTAAAGCGCGGTAGTCGTTGCGCTGCGCATGTACGAGATATATGGGTCACATATAAACAAAGATTGCGACTTTGACTGTTGCGCAAATCAACGAGTACGAACTGAGACGAGTCCAAGCTTTAAATAAGTAATTTTCATGTTATTGGAAGGTATCAAAGGAGTCACCGGCGGTAATCAGTGCAAGTCGCGCCCAGGTCAAACCTCATACTTGTGATTTCCATTTGAAGAGCGCATTGGATTGTGGGAAAATCAATGTTTATCAACACAATTGTGGCACATGCGCAGCGCGACGACTACCGCGCTTTAAAATAACACAAACTGATACATATGTCACAGAAACATATAATTACATCAGTAGAATTGCAAAGGCGGCGGCGCGAAATTTTGCATGAGGGGCGAGATCTGAAATCTAGACCCTCTGAAACGCTATTTTCTGCATATTGAGGGGGGAAACCGTGACACAAACGGTTTCAGCTTGATTGGGGGGCGACGCCCCCAACATATTTTCCGGGGCCACTCCCGGTGCTGCCATCACTGTATTGCTTATAAACAGTAACAGCACATAACTTTTGTTTGACGTTTCTGTCAAATCATGACATGCAAGGCTTCAAACTAATAAATATATGAGAACATTGTCAAATTTTGTGAGAGGAAAACATTTCAGCAAATGCAGCAATGACTCATGTATTGATTTATTGGTTTCAGGCACGGACGAATTAATGAAAAATCCTGGTTTTAAAAGTACAAAATAACCTGTTGATTACACTAAATGGTTATGTCTGCTATAATATTGCTTTCATCCGCAGTTATCCAAATTTATTCAAGCTACTATTTATTTACAATTAATCTTTTCCGTGGATACCACCATTAAAAGTTTAACATGCCCCCCTCCATATTGCACCGTGCCAGAATTGTACGATTGTCTGACAGCACTGAGAATTATCTGATCAGAAAGTCAATCACGTCTGTCTCGCAGCCAATGTATCAACCATCAACAATACAACATGTTACCACTGTGACGGCTGTGACGATGTTTACCATGAAATAATGCAATTCGTTTTTTAATACCTCGAACAAATCACACACACATAAACATACTGTTAAACATAACAAACTAAGAACCGATAAATTATGATTAAAATAAAATAAAATAATTCGCATTTGGCTTTGATTCAATTATTTTCACACTATGTGTCCATACAGCACAGTAACAAATTCTATCAAGTGGTCATACAAAACATTTGGACCAGTGGTCTGTCTTACAAATAAATAAATCACATGACTTTTCATGGTAAAATCACATGACTTTGTATTGTCAAATCACATGACACGCAAGCTTTCAAGACTTTCAAGGATTGTGTTGACGCCCACGCGTATTCTAATATAATAAGGTACCAATACAATATTGTATAGGGTCACGTACATGCAAGATCAAAAGATTGCATCGAAATTTAATCAATTCATCGATTGGTGTATGCATTTTCAAGTTCATGGACACCAAAACGTTAGTTCACGCTGATAGTTTATCAACTGCTAGATAAAACCATAAACATGCATTGCAGTCCAAATCATAGACCCTAGACTCCAGGGTCTATGTCTAGGCCAACCAATGTTAGTGAGGTTATTTTAATTTGCCGAAAATAACGAAACGAACATGCAGGGAAAGAATATGATGAAATTACTATTGCAAACTTTTCAATCACAGTGCAACAAATATACTTAAGACCCATTTGTGGGCAATTAATGGGACGTTCGTTTGTGTGCTTGCTAAGGGGCGTGGTATTTGTACCCGCATTGAAAGGCATAACTACAAATGTACAGTCACCGTGACTGTGGCTCCTAAAGCTAGATTAAAACGATTCGGCCCCGGGAGGATACCAGTGCATCGACGCAATGCTTCTTATACAACTTAGCTTACTGTCTCGCCATAGGACTGAAGCCAGAATTGGATTACTGAAATTACAATTGAAGTTCAATAGTACATGTTCTACAAACAGTAAATTTACCTAAAATTATGAGCACGTTTCTCTTCTCCGCTGATACGATGCATAGAGTTAACAGCATAAACAAACCAATCGTCGTGCACGCCATGCTAGCTGTGTTGTGCTAATGCGGACACCAGGGTCGTAATGATGTTCAGGTCAGGATGATAGTAACTAACCGATTAATAAAGTTAGTTACATATTCATTCCACAGTTTCTTTATGTAACCTCGAGAACTTTTCTTTCATTGGATGAATTAATAAATGAATCGAAGTGAAATAAAATTAAACTTTGTTCATGATATGCGAGATTAACAAATAAAATGTGATTTTAACGATAATAAGGCTCTCACCCATGCAGAAGGACAATCGGTGGTCGTTTCAGAATATTCAATCATTTTAGTCAAGGATTGCAATCAGAATAGACCAATACGAATTATAATAGTAACAGGTGTCAGTTTATGCCAAGGATGAGTGGACAAATCAGGGTCAGCAGTGAACGAGAGTATGCTTGAAAGGGACATGCGTTAGATGGAATCATCAACATACAGAAAGACAGTGCCATGTGTTTTGTCAATTGTTTGCGATTAGATTAGATAGCTAATTTAGAGACCAACGTTAGAGGGCGGTGGTCGTCGCGCTGCGACCTGTTCGATGTAGGACTCATAGCGACGTATACAACGTGTGTAAAATACATTGTTTATTTACACGAAATTCGGCCACCGCCCTTTAAATTACGTAGCTAGTAAGGTAAATGTCTTTCTTATTTCTATACAAATCAAAATTAGTATGTTCAACATATCACCACCACTATACTATCGAGGAACTGGATAGCATAACACATATACAATGCGATATTATTTAAGAGATAACTTAACAAACTCGTAAAAAAAAATCATAACCATAGATATAGGAATGCTGTAATAGTGAAGCCAACGACATAAATCGCATAAACCACAAGGAGATTGTTGCCGTGACATGTGTATCACAAGGAGATTGTTGCCGTGACATGTGTATCACAAGGAGATTGTTGCCGTGACATGTGTATCCTGTTTTGTAGCCCCTAACAATGAATTATAAATGTATCGATAATATTACTAGATGATATACCATTCAATCAAGCCTGTTTAAAATAACGATATATTGTAGCTTCATATATTATCTAATGCATCCCTGAATGCCAATATTTAACAAATATATCTGTTCTATTTTTATAAAAGAACTTTCCCAAAGAAAAGAAATTCTAATACTTAAAATAATAAGAGTTACTCACTAAACTATGTACTTTCACACTCAAGCAAGAGAATAGACATGTTGCTGAACTAGCATTGCACTGTGAGTGTTTTATTGTTTGCAGTCTTTAAAATACCAGTTTTTCCACAAATAACAACATTAAAAAGAAACAATGAACTGCTGACCTCACATCTTTGTATTTTTAAGTGGGCCAGCCAAGTTTCTACAAACAAAAATACACATAATATTTCTATTTAATTAATTTTATTGTATAATATTTTCACTGAATTCTTTAAAATAAATTTACCATTTACAAATTAATTTGTTGGACACTATTTAACCTTAATATTTTACAATCCATATCCTTATATTTGAATCAGTTTCAAGACATTTGAAAATTTATTGCCAGCAATAATTAATAAAGCTTGTTCAGAATGCCATTTTATTCACGACATCATATTCAGTGGCTAGTTGTCATGATCTACAACAGTAAATAACTAAACAGAAATCAATTGATGCCACGTTATTAGAAGACACCGCCATTTGGACCATACCATTTCAAGCTTGCAGGGGGTATAAATAAGAACTCAGCAACCAATAAACACATCTTCCACCCACCACAAAAAAATGTAGCCATAATTGAACAACTAAGAAAGCAACAAATATCAAGCTGCATCCTGAAAACAACACATTACAACTAGTCATTACAAACATAGAATCCTACACTCCTTCCAATACACTCTTCTACAGCATTAATGGTCCTATACTCATTTGCATCTATGTACAACAAGCTTAGCCAATAGATGCACCTGACTCATCAAACTTTTGACCAACCACTCATTCTAAATATTGCTGAGTGGGGGCGCTATTTACTAAGGAGAGGAATTTTTTAAAAGAATTGAACAGGTATATTAGTATATATTAAGAGTGCCCCTAAAAAAGAGAAACCACTGACCCCGACGTGATTCGAACACGCAGCCTTCTGATCTGGAGTCAGACACGCTACCGTTGCGCCACGGAGTCATTGTTACCAGCATTTTGGATTAAAACTACCATAATCATACTTTTATATGCAAAAACATATTGACTTTGAAGAAAATATTGAAGTAAATTGACTAATTGACAGTTTATGCCGAAGAAAACAAAGAATGGCATTCAATTAGATTGCTGACTGTAGTGTTGAGACGTGACAGTGACAGATACAGTTTTGAGAAACATTTGTAATTATTTATTATTTTGAGACTTTGAATTGCAATGACTGGAAAAATCTAACGAAATATACTCGTATAATAATAGATTACTGTTGTAATGAGACACAATAATGTCATGAAATAAAGTTGTATTGAAAAAACTCTTTCCGTAAGTCCCAATCACCTGTTGCTTTGAAATGTGTGTGTAATATATGTACATTTTTGACAGATTTGTTGGACGAATCAAACTATGCCTTGTATATATATTCCGACTCAACGGTAATGTATGAGTGATTTTAAATGAAACTGCACAGATTTGGTTGGTCAAGTTCTTCAGTTGCATACATCTTAAAGAGGAAAGAGACCCATTGTCTTTAGTGATGCACCTGTGTACGCTTGATGTGTATTTTCTTGTGAATAAAGAAGGGTCACTCAGTGACCGTTAATTTATGCATGCAATATTGTCCTTAGTGATGCACCTGTGTACGCTTGATGTGTATTTTCTTGTGAATAAAGAAGGGTCACTCAGTGACCGTTAATTTATGCATGCAATATTGTCCTTAGTGATGCACCTGTCTACGCTTGATGTGTATTTCTTGTGACAGTATGTATGCAAGATATTCATGTGTAACAAAAGGAAAAAGATGAGTTTCTCAAAAATAATCTCCCCGACGGGGAATTGAACCCCGGTCTTCCGCGTGACAGGCGGAGATACTCACCACTATACTATCGAGGAATTGGATGACATAATTTCAATACAATTTGATAATGTTGAAGAGATAACTTAAAAAACTTGTAAAAACAAAATCGATACCCATAGATATAGGAATGCTGTATTGGTGAAGCCAACGACATAAATCGCACAGACCACAATGAGATTGTTGCCGTGACATGTGTATCACAAGGAGGTTGTTGCCGTGACATGTGTATCACAAGAAGATTGTTGCCGTGACATGTGTATCCTGTCATGTAGCCCCTAACAATGAAATGTAAATGTATCGATAATATTACTGGATGATATACCATTCAATCAAGCCTGTTTAAAATAACGATATATTGTAGCTTCATATATTAACTAATGCATCCCTGAATGCCAATATTTAACAAATATATCTGTTCTATTTTTATAGAAGAACTTTCCCAAAGAAAAGAAATTCTAATATTTAAAATAATAAGAGTTACTCACTAAACTATGTACTTTCACACTCAAGCAAGAGAATAGACATGTTGCTGAACTAGCATTGCACTGTGAGTGTTTTATTGTTTGCAGTCTTTAAAATACCAGTTTTTCCACAAATAACAACATTAAAAAGAAACAATGAACTGCTGACCTCACATCTTTGTATTTTTAAGTGGGCCAGCC